TTTGCGCAAGTAATAAGGGGTTCCATGTTAATAACTCAATCTCTTTTTCGAAAATATATTCTATTACCTTCATTGATAATAGCGAAAAATATTGGACGTATGTTATTATTGCAACTTCCTGAATGGTATGAGGATTTAGAGGAATGGAATAGGGAGATGCATGTTAAATGTACCTATAATGGTGTTCAATTGTCCGAAACAGAATTTCCACAAAATTGGTTGACAGATGGTATTCAGATAAAAATCTTATTTCCTTTGTGTCTGAAACCTTGGCACAGATCTAAACTCCGATTCTCTCATAAAGATCTAATAATGAAAAAGAAAAAAGAAAAAGATGATTTTTGTTTTTTAACAGTTTTGGGAATGGAAACCGAACTTCCTTTTGGTTCTCCCCGAAAACGACCCTCTTTTTTTGAACCCATTTTTAAGGAACTCGAAAAAAAAATTGGAAAATTTCAAAAGAAATATTTTCTACTTCTAAAAATTTTTAAAGGAAAAATAAAATTACTTCGAAAAGTTTCAAAAGAAACAAAAAAATGGGTTATCAAAAGTGTCGTTTTTTTAAAAAAAATAAGAAAAGAACTCTTAAAAGTAAATCCAATTCTCTTATTTCGATCAAGAAAAGTAGAAGTATATGAATCGAGTGAAACTAAAAAAGAAAGAGATCCCATAATCAGCAATCAGATGATTCATAAATCATTTAGTCAAATTGCATCTCCAGATTGGACAAATTCTTCATTGACAGAAAAAAAAATGAAGGATCTGACTGATAGAACAAATACAATTAGAAATCAAATAGAAAGAATTACAAAAGAGAAAAAAAAAGTAACTCCGGAAATAAATATTAGTCTTAACAAAACAAGTTATAATGCTAAAAGATTAGAAAAATGGCAAATATTAAAAAGAAGAAATGCTCGATTAATTTCTAAATTACCTTTTGTTTTTCAATTTTTCATTGAAAGAATCTACACAAATATATTTTTATCTATCATTAATATTCCCAGAATGAAGAGAAAATTATTTCTTGAATCAACAAAAAAAATTATGAATAAATCCATTTACAATAATGAAACAAGTCAAGAAATAATTAATAAAAAAAATCAAAATCCAATTGAGTTTATTTCGACTATAAAAAAGTCACTTTATAATATTAGTAATAGTAAGACAAATTCACATATTTTTTATGACTTATCGTACTTATCACAGGCATATGTATTTTACAAATTATCACAAACCCAAGTTATTAACTTGTATAAATTAAAATCATTTCTTCAATATCAAGGAATCCCTTTTTTTCTTAAGCCTGAAATAAAGGATTCTTTTGAAACACAAGGAATAGTTCATTCTAAATTAAAGGATAACAGACTTCCGAGTTCTGAAATGAATCAATGGAAAAACTGGTTAAGAGGGCATTATCAATACGATTTATCTCAGATCAGATGGTCTAGATTAATACCACAACAATGGCGGAATAGAGTTTATCAACGTCGTATGGTTAAAAGGAAAAATTTCAGCAAATGGAATTTATATGAAAAAGACCAATTAATTGATTCCAAAAAAGAAAATATTTTGGAAGTCTATTCATTATTGAATCAAAAAGATAATTTTCAAAAATACTATAAATATGATCTTTTATCATATAAATCTATTAATTCTGAAAATAAAAAGGACTCATTTATTTCTAGATCGCCGTTTGAAGGAAATAAGAATCAAGAGATTTCTTATAATTACAACACATATAAAGAAACTTTTTTTGATATGCTGAGGAGTATCCCTATCAATAATTATCTAGGAAAGGGCGATATTCTATATATGGAAAAAACTCCCGATAGGAAATATTTGGATTGGAAAATTATCAATTTTGATCTTAGACAAAAAGTCGATATTGGGGCCTGGATCACGATCGATGCCAATAGTAATCAAAATACTCAGATTGTTACTAATAATGATCAAATAATTGATCAAAAAAATATTTTTTATCTTATGATTCCAGAAATGAATTTACCAAACTCCCCAAAAGTCTTTTTTGATTGGATGGGGATGAATGAAAAAATACTAAAGCGTCCCATATTGAATCTGGAACTTTGGTTCTTCCCAGAATTTTTGTTACTTTATAATACATATAAAACGAAATCTTGGTTTATACCAAGCAAATTACTTCTTTTAAATTTGAATAGAAATGAAAATAGTAATGAAAATCAAAATCAAAAGATTAATGAAAAGCAAAAGGGAAGTTTTTTGATACCATCGAATAAAAAAATAAAGAATCGAAATCAAGAAGAAAAAAAAACCACAAGCCAAGGGGATCTTGGATCCGTTCTTTCAAACCAACAAAAAGATATTGAAGAAGATTATGCGAGATCGGACATGAAAAAAGGTAAAAAGAAAAAACAATACAAAAGTAACACGGAAGCAGAACTAGATTTGTTCCTGAAACATTATTTGCTTTTTCAATTGAGATGGGACGATACTTTGAATCAAAGAATGATCAATAATATTAAGGTATATTGTTTCCTGCTTAGGCTAATAGATCCAAGAAAAATTTCTATATCCTCGATTCAAAGGGGAGAAATGAGTTTGGATATAATGCTGATTCAGAAGAATTTAACTCTTCCAGAATTGATGAAAAGGGGAATATTGATTATCGAACCCATTCGTCTGTCTGTAAAAAACGACGGACAGTTTATTATGTATCAAACCATCGGTATTTTGTTGGTTCATAAGAGTAAGCACCAAACTAATCAAAGATACCGAGAGCAAAGATATGTTGCTAAGAATAATTTTGATGAATCTATTCCACCACATGAAAGAATAACAAGAAATAGAGACAAAAATCATTTGGATTTGCTTGTTCCTGAAAATATTTTCTCATTTAGACGTCGTAGAAAATTAAGAATTCTAATTTGTTTCAATTCAAAGAATAGGAATGATGTAGATAGAAATCCTGTATTTTGCAACGAAAAGAATAGCAGCCAAGTTCTAGGTGACAGTAATCACCTTGATAGAGAGATAAATCAATTAATGAAATTGAAGTTCTTTCTTTGGCCTAATTATCGATTAGAAGATTTAGCTTGTATGAATCGCTATTGGTTTGATACCAATAATGGCAGTCGTTTCAGTATGTTAAGGATACATTTGTATCCACGATTGAAAATTCGTTGATAGTACATTTTTCCTATATATCCTCTACTATATAGGATATATGAAAGCAAATAAATACACACATCACACGTCCTGTCTTACATTTCATTCTAAATATCCAATACTAAATGAATAATGTATCAATTCGATCTAGAAATGAATCAACAGAACCCTCTTCATTTTAGGTCTAAATTCTTCGCTTTTGTGAATACGAAAATGTGCCAATCCTTTTCTCTCCCTATCTAAATCTAATTTTCAATTGGATTGATTCATTTGAATTGATAAAATTAGGAGTTCATAAAGAAATTTGAATTAGATTATTGTATATACCACATTAAAATAAATGACATTATTATTACTGATCGGTAAAATCCATATCTGTAAAAAGGGAGAGGAGGCTTTTTTTTATGGTAAGAAATTCATTCATTTCGGTTATTTCTCAAAAAGAAAATGAAGAAAACAGAGGGTCTGTTGAATTTCAAGTATTCAGTTTCACCACTAAGATAAGGAGACTTACTTCACATTTGGAATTGCACAAAAAAGACTATTCATCTCAGAGAGGTTTGCGAAAAATTTTGGGAAAACGTCAACGATTACTGGCTTATTTGTCAAAAAAAAATAGAGTACGTTATAAAGAATTAATTGATCGGTTGGATATTCGAGAGATAAAAACTCGTTAATTTAAAGAGTGATATCATTTAAACTTATGCGTTTCAATTTTGATGAACTTCTTTTTACTTTCAGCAATTCATGGAAGAATGACTCGGTAAAAAACTTATGATTGCACCAACTACAAGAAAAGACCTCATGATAGTCAATATGGGTCCTCACCACCCATCAATGCATGGTGTTCTTCGACTTATCGTTACTCTCGATGGTGAAGATGTTATTGACTGTGAACCAATATTGGGTTATTTACACAGAGGAATGGAGAAAATTGCGGAAAACCGAACAATTATACAATATTTGCCTTATGTAACACGTTGGGATTATTTAGCTACTATGTTCACAGAAGCAATAACCGTAAATGGACCCGAACAACTAGGCAATATTCAAGTACCTAAAAGGGCTAGCTATATCAGAGCCATTATGTTGGAGTTGAGTCGTATAGCTTCCCATTTGTTATGGCTTGGTCCTTTTATGGCAGATATTGGGGCACAAACCCCTTTCTTCTATATTTTTCGAGAACGAGAATTGATATATGACCTATTCGAAGCTGCCACCGGTATGCGAATGATGCATAATTATTTTCGTATTGGAGGAATAGCTGCTGATCTACCTCATGGATGGATAGATAAATGTTTGGATTTTTGCGATTATTTTTTAACAGGGGTTGCTGAATATCAAAAGCTTATTACACGGAATCCTATTTTTTTAGAACGAGTTGAGGGCGTAGGCATTATTGGAGGAGAAGAAGCACTAAATTGGGGTTTATCAGGACCAATGCTACGAGCTTCCGGAATACAATGGGACCTTCGTAAAGTTGATCATTATGAGTGTTACGACGAATTTGATTGGGAGGTTCAATGGCAAAAAGAAGGGGATTCATTAGCTCGTTATTTAGTACGAATCGGTGAAATGACAGAATCCATAAAAATTATCCAACAGGCTCTGGAAGGAATTCCAGGGGGGCCCTTTGAGAATTTAGAAATCCGACGCTTTGATAGAGTAAAAGATACTGAATGGAATGATTTTGAATATCGATTTATTAGTAAAAAACCTTCTCCAACTTTTGAATTGTCCAAACAAGAACTTTATGTAAGAGTCGAAGCACCAAAAGGAGAATTGGGAATTTTTCTGATAGGAGATCAGAGTGTTTTTCCTTGGAGATGGAAAATTCGCCCACCGGGTTTTATCAACTTGCAAATTCTGCCTCAGTTAGTTAAAAGAATGAAATTGGCTGATATTATGACGATACTAGGTAGTATAGATATCATTATGGGAGAAGTTGATCGTTGAAATGATAATTGATAATACAACAGAACTACAAGCCATCCATTCATTTTCCAGATTGGAATTCTTAAAAGAAGTCTATGGGATCATATGGGTGCTTGTCCCTATTTTGACTCTTGTATTAGGAATCACACTAGGTGTACTAGTAATTGTTTGGTTAGAAAGAGAAATATCTGCAGGGATACAACAACGTATTGGACCTGAATACGCCGGCCCCTTGGGAATTCTTCAAGCTCTAGCAGATGGGGTAAAACTACTTTTCAAAGAGAATCTTTTTCCATCTAGAGGGGATACTCGTTTATTCAGTATCGGACCATCCATAGCAGTCATATCCATTTTACTAAGTTATTCAGTAATTCCTTTTGGTTATCGCCTTATTCTAGCCGATCTTAGTATTGGTGTTTTTTTATGGATCGCTGTTTCAAGTCTTGCTCCCGTTGGACTTCTTATGTCGGGATATGGATCAAATAATAAATATTCCTTTTTAGGTGGTTTAAGAGCTGCTGCTCAATCAATTAGTTATGAAATACCATTAACTCTATGTGTATTATCAATATCTCTACGTGTGATTCGGTGAGACATCAAATTTCCCCTATTTCTTTTCTTTCTAGTAAGAAAGTTAAATGAGTTGAATATATATATTTTCTTTTTTTATTCAGAATTCGGGTTGATGAACTAAACCAGATAGTTATATGAGTGAAATAAAACGGCTTTTGAATTTGCAGTTAAAGGGATTGAATCTCATTTCCTATGTACAAGAATGAAATGAAAGTAAATATAAGCAAAGCAGTCGAGACTGTTTACCCCAAGATTGGTTGATTAGGCATCATGGCTTGAAACGGGTTCAAAAGATCAACTGTATGGAGTTTTTACTATCTATTAACATAGATGTATTACCATAATGGGAGGTTAACAAAAATGAGTGGATGGTTAGGAAGACCAAGATACGCAAAGGATTAGTAATGGAGATTCTGTAAATTATCCAACAGGATGTACCTAAAAGGAATTCCAATTGGGGCTTTAAGTTAGTAGAAACGATTAAGAAGTACTCCCCATGATTTCGATCCAGAGTATGTTCCTATCCACTGATTAAGTAAATAACTATCAAGAACGAAGTAATCTTTTACTTTGGTAATGTCCCCCTTTTCTGAGAAAGGAGAATAGGAACGAAATAAACTCGAAAGAATAGAATTGCAAAAAAGAGATCTTTTTTTATTCTTTCTTTCCTATATACCCATTTTATTTAGAGAGATAGAATTCTTGTCATGATGCATGAACTAGTGCAATGTCTAATTCTTTTTCGTAATGGAAAATGATAGGTTGAAATAGCTATGTGATATTCCTCCAAAAAAACTCTTTTTTTATTCAAGGATAAAGTTATTAATCAACAAAGAAAAATGAAAATTCTTAAAAGATGAGATCAATTCAGAAGCACTTTTATTTATTAGAAATATATATTTTTTAGAAATAGCAGACAGAATTCCATTGGTCTACCTTAGGATAAGAGTTTGAATCTCTATCTATCCTATAAACATATCAAGATAAATAATGTCGAAAGGTACTTAGATTTATTTGCGACCTCTGAGGAGCCGTATGAGGTGAAAATCTCATGTACGGTTCTGTAATAGCGATGGGAACAGTGATGTTATCATCGACTATGATTATCTAACAGTTCAAGTACAGTTGATATAGTTGAAGCGCAGTCAAAATATGGTTTTTGGGGGTGGAATTTGTGGCGTCAACCTATAGGGTTTATCGTTTTTCTAATTTCTTCTCTAGCCGAGTGTGAGAGATTACCTTTTGATTTACCAGAAGCAGAAGAGGAATTAGTAGCAGGTTATCAAACCGAATATTCAGGTATCAAATTTGGTTTATTTTATGTTGCTTCGTATCTGAATCTACTAGTTTCTTCATTATTTGTAACAGTTCTTTACTTGGGGGGTTGGAATCTTTCTATTCCGTACATATTCATTCCTGAGCTTTTTGAAAGAGGTAAAGTTTTTGGAACAATAATCGGTATCTTTATTACATTAGCTAAAACTTATTTGTTCTTGTTCATTTCTATTGCAACAAGATGGACTTTACCGAGACTGAGAATGGACCAACTATTAAATCTTGGATGGAAATTTCTTTTACCTATTTCTCTAGGTAATCTATTATTAACAACTTCATTCCAACTTCTTTCACTGTAAAGGAATAGAATATTCTATATTCACAACTTGTCTCAAACAAGAGAAAGAAACAAGTATAAAATTATTTATAGATATTTACGATATGTTTCCTATGGTAACTGAGTTCATGAATTATGGTCAACAAACAATACGAGCTGCAAGGTACATTGGTCAAGGTTTCATGATTACCTTGTCCCATGTGAATCGTTTACCTGTAACTATTCAATACCCCTACGAAAAATTGATCACATCGGAACGTTTCCGAGGACGAATCCACTTTGAATTTGATAAATGCATTGCTTGTGAAGTATGTGTTCGTGTATGTCCTATAGATTTACCCGTTGTTGATTGGAAATTGGAAACGGATATTCGAAAGAAACGATTACTTAATTACAGTATTGATTTTGGAATCTGTATATTTTGTGGTAATTGCGTTGAGTATTGTCCAACAAATTGTTTATCAATGACTGAAGAATATGAACTTTCTACTTATAATCGTCACGAATTGAATTATAATCAAATTGCTTTAGGTCGGTTACCGGTGTCAATAATTGACGATTACACAATTCGACCAATTTCGAATTCACCTCAAATACAAAATGGAAAAAATCCTTGATTCAAAAACCATTCCATCATTTTTGGATCCAAAAGAATGAGGTTTTTTGCTTGGTCAATAGGTTGGTTGGCGAGAATCGTGGCTTAATTTGGATTGAAAATCGATTTCTATTCAACTAATGATTTCAAAATAGAGAGTTTAAAACTCCTCTTTCGGATAAAGAATAAGAGTAGTCCCATAACTGTATCTACATCAATCCACATCATACCCATTCCAATTTAATTCAATTAAGAAGTATCCTCAAAGATAACTTCTTTTTTCCTGGTCAGGTCAACAAAGTCATGAAATATTTCGATTTATCTATTTTTTTCTATAAAATCAAATGGGTTTACCTGGACCAATACATGATTTTCTTTTAGTCTTTCTGGGATCGGGTCTTATATTAGGAAGTCTAGGAGTAGTATTACTTCCCAATCCAATTTATTCGGCCTTTTCGTTGGGATTGGTTCTTTTTTGTATATCCTTATTCTATATTCTATCGAACTCATATTTTGTAGCTGCTGCGCAGCTCCTTATTTATGTGGGAGCTATAAATATTTTAATCATTTTTGCTGTGATGTTCATGAGTGGTTCAGAATATTACAAAGATTTTCATCTTTGGACCGTTGGGGATGGAGTTACTTCAATAGTTTGTACAAGTCTTTTTATTTCACTAATTACTACTATTCCAGATACGTCATGGTACGGGATTATTTGGACTACAAAATCAAACCAGATTATAGAGCAAGATTTGATAAGTAATAGCCAACAAATTGGAATTCATTTATCAACAGATTTTTTTCTTCCATTTGAACTCATTTCAATAATTCTTTTAGTCGCTTTAATAGGTGCAATTGCTATAGCTCGTCAATAATAAATCTTTAAAACTAGGAATTCCATTCAAATAAAATCAACGGAAATGAATGTTATAATCCTTTAATTTGAATTCCTGTCTAAAATAGAAATGCTTTAGCTTTAGGTAGATCTATTACCAATATATTCCCTGTTGTTAGAATCGAATCGCTTGAATTATTGTTCATATTGAAATGAATCGAGATTGATAAGGAGTTGGTTAATGATGCTTGAACATGTACTTGTTTTGAGTGCCTATTTATTTTCCATCGGTATCTACGGATTGATCACAAGTCGAAATATGGTTAGAGCCCTTATGTGTCTTGAACTTATATTAAATTCAGTTAATATAAATTTTGTAACATTTTCTGGTTTTTTTGATAATCGTCAATTAAGAGGAGATATTTTCTCCATTTTTGTTATAGCTATTGCAGCCGCTGAAGCAGCTATTGGACCGGCTATTGTTTCATCAATTTATCGTAACAGAAAATCAACTCGTATTAACCAATCCAATTTGTTGAATAAATAGTATTAATTATATAAATAGAAATTCGAATATTCAGAAATTATTCTGAAATTAATTCGAATTAGCAGGTTTGCTACGTGTAAGGTAGGCTCGTGGTTGCAAAAACATAAGAAATCAAAGTATTTTGGCCCTCTCTCATAAACCAATCCGCAAGTAGATTGATTCTGATCACTCATTGATTCGTCTGGTATCTAAATATATGATTCATTTATAAGTTTACTAGATCGAAAATTTATGACGAAAAAAATGTATAGATCCAATGTCACATTCAGTAAAGATTTATGATACATGTATAGGATGTACTCAATGTGTCCGAGCGTGTCCCACCGATGTATTAGAAATGATACCTTGGGACGGATGTAAAGCTAAACAAATTGCTTCTGCCCCAAGGACCGAGGACTGTGTTGGTTGTAAGAGATGTGAATCCGCCTGCCCAACGGATTTCTTGAGTGTTCGAGTTTATTTATGGCATGAAACAACTCGCAGTATGGGTCTAGCTTATTGATACGTTCCAGAAAACTCTACTTGAATCCATTTTCTTTTTTTATCGACAAAACCCGTGCTCCAAATATTTGGAGCACGGGTTTTTCTGGCCCAAGTGTATCTTGTCTTTACCACGAATCATTTTCCTTGGTTAACAATAATTGTTATTTTGCCAATATCTGCGGGTTCCTTAATTTTCTTTCTTCCACATAGAGGAAATAGGGTAATTCGTTGGTATACTATATGTATATGTATTTTAGAACTTCTTATAACGACTTATGCATTCTGTTATCATTTCCAATCGGGCGATCCATTAATCCAACTAGTGGAGGATTATAAATGGATCGATTTTTTTGATTTCCATTGGAGATTAGGAATAGATGGGCTTTCTATAGGACCCATTTTACTGACGGGATTCATCACTACTTTAGCTACTTTAGCGGCTCGGCCAGTTACTCGGGATTCTCGACTATTTCATTTCTTGATGTTAGCAATGTACAGTGGTCAAATAGGATTATTTTCTTGTCGGGACCTTTTACTTTTTTTCCTCATGTGGGAGTTAGAATTAATTCCCGTTTATCTACTTCTATCAATGTGGGGAGGAAAAAAACGTCTGTACTCAGCTACCAAATTTATTTTGTACACGGCGGGGGGTTCTGTTTTTCTTTTAATGGGAGTTCTGGGTATCGGTTTATATGGTTCTAATGAACCAACATTAAATTTAGAAATATTAGCCAATCAGTCCTATCCTGTGGCCTTGGAAATAATATTTTATATTGGATTTTTTATTACTTTTGCTGTCAAATTGCCGATTATACCACTACATACATGGTTACCAGATACCCATGGAGAAGCGCATTATAGTACTTGTATGCTTCTAGCCGGAATCTTATTAAAAATGGGAGCATATGGATTAGTTCGGATCAATATGGAATTATTACCCCATGCTCATTCTATATTTTCTCCTTGGTTGATCATAGTAGGCGCAATGCAAATAATTTATGCAGCTTCAACATCTCTCGGTCAACGGAATTTAAAAAAAAGAATAGCCTATTCCTCTGTATCTCATATGGGTTTCATAATTATAGGAATTGGTTCTATCACCGATACAGGGCTCAATGGAGCCCTTTTACAAATAATCTCTCATGGATTTATTGGTGCTGCACTTTTTTTCTTGGCAGGAACGACTTATGATAGAATACGTCTTGTTTATCTTGACGAAATGGGTGGAATAGCTATCCCAATGCCAAAAATATTCACGATGTTCAGTAGCTTTTCGATGGCCTCCCTTGCATTACCAGGTATGAGTGGTTTTGTTGCCGAATTAATAGTATTTTTTGGACTAATTACCAGTCAAAAATACCTTTTAATGCCAAAAATACTAATTACTTTTGTAATGGCAATTGGAATGATATTAACTCCTATTTATTCATTATCTATGTCACGCCAGATGTTCTATGGATACAAGATATTTAATGCTCCAAACTCTTATTTTTTTGATTCTGGACCGCGAGAGTTATTTCTTTCAATCTCTATCTTTTTACCCATACTAGGTATTGGTATGTACCCCGATTTTGTTCTTTCACTATCAGTTGACAAGGTCGAAGTTATTCTATCTAATTCTTTTTATAGATAGTTTTGATGAATAAAAAAAAAAAAGAAAAAATCCTATGATTTTTTTTTAATCGTTCGTTGTACAATGAAAAAAAGAAGGCTTTTTCTTCTTCTCTTAAGTTAAGTAAAAAAATGAATTTGAATCGGCGCGAACCCTGTGAATCACTACAATATTTGATTCACAGGGTTCTCATCAGTTCACATAAAGTTTTTTATCTCATATGCACTGTACACTTTTCTATTCGTAAGAGTCTTTTTTGAATCCTTTTGAATTCAATTAGATGTTAATGTAAATGAACCATAACTATGTAGTCCTATTCCTAATAGATTGACCCCAAAATAGCATATCCAAATTATAAGAAAGCCAATAGACGCCACAATTGCGGAATTTATACCCTTCCATTTTATATTGGTTCGAATATGTAAATAAATCGCGAATACGATCCAAGTAATAAATGCCCAAGTTTCCTTTGGGTCCCAACTCCAATATGATCCCCATGCTTCGTTAGCCCATACTGCTCCAGAAAGTATCCCTATGGTTAAAAAGATAAATCCTAGACTAATAACCCGATAACTCCAATAATCCAATTGTTGAATAAATTGCGACCTGTAATAATTCTTCGGAGAAAAAAAAGAAGTATTTTGTAAAACATTGCTTCTTTCATTCATGTATTCGATTTCACCAAAGAAAAATGACCCATTTAAATTTAATAAATGATTACTTGTAAAAAAAAACTTTCTGTTTTTTCTAACTGCAATGACTAGAAGTGCTACTGATAATAATGATCCACATAAAAGGGCTGCATAGCCCAATATCATCATACTTACGTGCATTATTAACCACTCGGATTGAAGAGCGGGTACTAATATTTCAGATTCGTGTATTTGAGTTAAAAGACCTGAAGTAGCAAAGCCTTGGGTAAAAATAGCACTTGGGCCGATTATTGCGCTTAAAAAATTTTGATTTTTTTTGAAATACGGAACTATATGAATAAGGGATAAACTCCATGAAAGGAAGATTAATGATTCATATAAATTACTTAGTGGAAAATGTCCCGAATAAATCCAACGAGTAACTAATAATCCTGTTATACAGAAAAAAGTCATTATCATGCCCTTTTCTGATGAATCGTAGAGTTTTATGATTTCATCGACTAAACAGGTTATCAAATGAATTGTAATTACAATTGAAACGATCGAAAAAGAAATATGAGTTAATATATGCTCTAAGGTTGAAAATATCATAAAAATCTTAAAAAATAGGAGTTCTTTAATTACAAGAAATCAGGAATTGAATTCATTATAGGATCTATTTAGTTTTTTTAGAAGATGACATGCCGCCACTCGGACTCGAACCGAGATGCTCTAGCACTGCTTCCTAAGAGCAGCGTGTCTACCAATTTCACCATAGCGGCTTGTCTTGAACTCATAATAGCCTATGAATAAGCAATCGTCTAGATTTAAGAATTCAATTGGTTGCAATATTTTTTAGGAAAGATTCAAATGGATGAATAAAAATTAGTTCAAATAGGTATTTAAAGGTTCATTATTTTAGTTTAGGGCCTTAGTTTTCTTAAGATTTTCGTGTATTTTATACTCTCCTCAACTTGAACTCTTTAAAACTAGATAGTTTTATTATCAATTAATAGGATAGAACTCAAAAAAAATCCATTTTCTTAATGAATCCAAAAGAAAAAAACCTATTTTGGATCACTCAAAATTGATACATTATTTATCCAGACTCTCTTCACTAAGTGTTAGAGATATATGGGGGTGTATATAGGAATTCAGAGAAAATCAAAAAGTGAGAAAGTTACACAAAAGGGTTTAAAATTTTAATCAATTAGTTTCAATGATTTTAGTAACTAAAGATTCAAGATTTTCTATTTGCTCTTCTATAGATAGAGAAAAAAGTGGATATAGAGAAAAAATAAAAAGTTGTATTATTGTAACAAATAGGGAGATGCGGAAAATAAGACTCCCGCCTTGGAAATGAGAAAATATACTAAAAAGAAAATTGAGTATCTTTTGTTTATTCTTTTGTCAACAAAAAGAAAGTATTTTTATTTTTTTGAATTGAATTGAGTAAGGTAAACAGAAGAATTCTTATTCTACATATTCTAAGAGCGGAGCGAATTCCATTTCATATTGATTAACTCAATAGGTAATGGAATTCATTAATTTGATTTTCGAAATGAGTCAATTTTTTGAGTCAAGTCGATTCAGATTATTCCAACGTTTTATTACTTATTTTTTTTTCGCACAAAAAAACTTTTTGAATTCCCGGTAGAAAGAGATTTCCCTAAGGAAAATGCTTTTAACGCTGTCCCGTATCCTTTCCTTTTCCAAATATTTTTACGAATACGCTTTTTTGATGCAGAAGTACGTTTTTTTGGAACTGCCATTTAAATACAAATTAAGAGATTACTCATTGTTATAGCTGGATGTGAAAGACATCTATTATTCAAAATGAATCCGTAGTTTCCTATTCATTAGGAATTTCTTTTCTAGAAAATATTTTGTTATAAAATAAAAAGAAAAAAAAATAGATAGGTTAAAGATATGTGAAAATGACATAAAATATTACTAAAAATAGAAAAAAGAAGAAGAATATGCTTTTTTCTATTAACTGGTCAAACTCGGTAAAAATATGGCTAATTTGAATTGAATTTTCAGAGACTAGTAATTAATCTTTTTCTTTCATATGATTTGACCAATTGTAACTTCTTGATTTGAATATTTGGAATATTTAGCAGAATAAGTAAGAATAAAAAATTAGAAAATTCTATTTAAATTAGTGCATATCTTGATTTTTTTATTGACTTCTTTCAAAAGAGGTAAGATCCGGTGAATCGGAAACAATTAATTAAAAAACTTTTTTTATGGAACAGACATATCAATATGCGTGGATCATACCTTTTGTTCCACTTCCAGTTCCTATGTTAATAGGAGTCGGACTTCTTCTTTTTCCGACGGCAACAAAAAATCTTCGTCGTATGTGGGCCTTTCCGAGTATTTTATTGTTAAGTATAGTCATGATTTTTTCAATGAATCTGTCTATTCAGCAAATAAATAGTAGTTGTATCTATCAATATGTATGGTCTTGGACCATCAATAATGATTTTTCTTTAGAATTCGGCTACTTGATTGATCCCCTTACTTCTATTATGTCAATTTTAATCACTACTGTTGGAATTATGGTTCTTATTTATAGTGATAATTATATGGCTCATGATCAAGGATACTTGAGATTTTTTGCTTATATGAGTTTTTTCAGTACTTCCATGTTAGGATTAGTTACTAGTTCCAATTTGATACAAATTTATATTTTTTGGGAATTGGTTGGAATGTGTTCCTATCTATTAATAGGGTTTTGGTTCACACGACCTATTGCGGCAAATGCTTGTCAAAAAGCGTTTGTAACTAATCGTGTAGGGGATTTTGGTTTATTATTAGGAATTTTAGGTTTTTATTGGATAACAGGTAGTTTCGAATTTAGGGATTTATTCGAAATATTAAATAACTTGATTTATAATAATAAAGTCAATTCTTCATTTGTTACTTTGTGTGCTGCTCTATTATTTACCGGTGCAGTTGCTAAATCTGCACAATTTCCCCTTCATGTATGGTTACCTGATGCTATGGAGGGACCTACTCCTATTTCG